ATATTTACAGTTTTATCCTGGTATACCAGGCTCATTTCATGTCACCAGATTCACCCTTACGTTTTGTGACTACGATATACAGCATCTGAAGCATGCCTTGTTCCAATACAGGATTTATGATGTGGGCTGGGCTCCTTGAGTTTAATTTGAACTTACCAGGCAAAAATCAATTATAAATCAAAACATCATATTTCATTTTCTCCTAAAGTTTTAAAAATGTTTCCTTAAGGCCTGATTCTACAGTAGTTTTCAAATTAAGCTGCTTTACTCTTTGCTGGTCTAATGCAGTGACTGGGGAAGCTTCTGCATGATTATACAGTGGCTAAATGTAGCCCTTAATGATTTCTTACACGGGCATTGTCTCATAATGTTGAGCTAGGTTGTTGGTTGTTTTTTTTTAGTTATATGTTTGTTTGTTTTTAACAGTTTCCTTAGTTCCTTATTTATACTGCTCTTTTTCCTATGGCACAACAACATGAATAACAGCCTTAGAACTTCCTCTCATTTTCATGCATGACTGGAATAGTCTGTGTAATTGAAGCAAGAAGCGTAGGATCTATGAGTAAAATATGGGTAGGTGTAAGCTGTTGAGATGCCTGAAGTTCTCTTCAGAACTATATTGTAAATAGAAGCCTATGCTTCTATTAAAAAGAAATTAAATACATACGTGCTTAAAGTTTGACCAGATTAATGCCTCTATTTATGTATGGGTGATTTCAGAGATCTGAAACATGTATTATCTTGTATCAGTATGACAAAAAGCTTGCTTACAAAGTCACTTCTACCTCTCATGAATTGCTCTCAGTTCAATGTCAAATGCCCTTGCTCATAGAGGGCTTACCAAATAGTGTATCTCAGCTCTTCATGTAATAGCTTTTACTAATTTTGTCCAAGAGATTACAGATTGCCTCTTGAAGAAAAAAGTAACTAGGCAAGTTCAATGGATATGTGTGCTCATGTGTACATTGTGTAAAATCCAGCTATTTTAGTAAGTAATCACATAATAATTTTAAGATAAATATAGGATGAAACTGAAGTGATAGAATCACTCTAGTTCAAGCTAATCAGAGAATTTGACATTTCATTTCTGTTACCTTTTTCTGATGAAGGAAAAACATCTTTGATTGATAGATTCCATTTACACAGGGATTTATTCAAAATAGCAGTGGTACTTTCAGTCTACTTTAATAGTTTTTGTTTATTTTGACTTCTTAAACTGTAAAAGCTGAAAAATTAAACATGAAAATAAACGCTTCATAATTTCCTGAGTTTTTAACTAAAGCCTGATTGAGTAGAGTACAGTCTGACTGGCTAGAGTTTTGAGGTCTCTAATCTCTGGTCCAGTTAAACATTTAACTAAGAATATCCATTTCTTGTTTTGTGCTGGCAACTCAGCGTTTTAAAGCACTTAGCAGCTTGATCCACTTCTTAGCTTTACAGGTTCAAATATAAAAAAATAACTGTGATGCACCATCTAGAGCATCTCCCATTCATAGAGGTGACTGTGCCAAAACAAACGGTTCTTCAGATTCCGACATTTATCTTTCAAAGAAACAATAACTAGTTGATTGTAAAACATGGATCCATTATTATATCACATTAATTGCTTCTATCATATCTCTACGGTGACGCAGGACTCAAAGTTTAGATGTAACTCTGTAGTATAGTGAGATAGGTATTTATCACTTTTCTTACTTTGTATTCTGTTGTTTTTTTGATTTGTACTTAAACTGTGCACTGAGTTTTCAAGGAATTAACCTTTTGATGCTCAGAGTACCCTTCTTCATACCTATGTACTCTCTCCTGCACAAGCTGCCTACTCAGCTTGGGAAAAACGCAGCTTTTGCCTCTTCTCAGATGAAGTATCTGCCGAGTAAGCAATTTCACAATAAATGCAGTCATTTAATGAATACTTTAAGAAATAAAGACTCTTTCTCCAAATATTTGTAACGATAGAATTGTCTTGTGGCAAAGGAAATAATTCAGCAGTACATCCCCTTCTCCTATCAAATCCAGTTATAATAATAAACTCAGCAAGCTAATAATTAGTATTGTATATAATCTAATAAAATATATATTTTAATATTTTTTATTTTATATAAGCTAGTAATCTCTATCAATATGTATCTGGTTATTATACCTATAGCCACTGACGATATTTCTGAGTACTTCTTTTACAAGCTGCCATTATGTCATTGCATATATTCGATCATTTGCCTGTCTTTATTTCAGTTTGTAACAGTAGATAGTGACAGCCGTGGTGAATGCAAAGGGAAACAGAGTGCAAAGAAGCAGAGTGAGGATCTGAACTGTAGAATATAGTAAGCAGGGAATAATCATACACAGTGTCTGGATGGAAATGACTGTATGTATGTGTTCCTTTTTCACAAAGATTTTCATACCTTAGTATAAAATTGTTCTTGTTGATTAAGTTCTTTACTGTTTCGCCCAGAATTTTTTGTTCTTCTTTACACACAAATAAATCATTTTCAGAAACACAGAAATACTTCAATTGGAAAAGTATGAAAATGGAAATACTGTTGGCACCCGCTTGTAGCTTGAAAATCTGATAAATCCTGCATTTCTTTTCACTATTCACTTACAGTTTTCTTTTTTTCTTTTTTTTCTTTGTTTTGTTTTGCTTTGGTTTTTTGTTTTGTTTTTGTTTTTGTTTCAATGTTTATGGAGGTTAGTTTTGGTAAAGTGAATGCCTTCATTATTCCCCAACTCCCCTGGTTCCAACTAGTTGATCACTAGTAGGCTAAAAATTTGTTTCATACTTTTAATTTGGCAAAAAAAATACAATAAGTACTTTTTTTTTTTCCCTCCAGGTAAATGCCCTCTGGATTATTACTTAATTATTTTATTTTTTTATAATATTTCAGTGTAATAAATGATTATTATACATATATATATATATAATCCAGATGTATTGTACAATAATTAAATGATGCCTGTCTGGAGACTGCTTTGGCTTATTCTTCTTTCTGTACACATATTTAGGTCTCAAGAAGAACTTTCCATCTCAAGAAAGATATTTAAAAACAGAAAGAGTAAATAGTCATTGATTAAGTATTTTAGAAAGGAATTAGCAAGAGGGGCAAAATATTTCAGGTGATTTGATACATCATAGCAATATTTTTTCTTAGTGAAGGAATAATATATCTGAGTGCTTTATTTACCACTACCTCATATTTACATTCTTTTACTTTCTATGAGCATAATAGGACTCCTTACTTTTTATTCAACTTGTTACACCATGATCTTTCTATCATTTATAAAGGCTGCAAGATGTAACGATTAGTAAAACCAACTGTCTATTTATATGTTTCATTATATACCAAAGGAGAGACCTGATGATAAGAACAGAAGTAAATCATAACCAAGAAGGTCATATGTCACTTTTTGGCCTAGTTCATCATATCCATGCAATAGCAAGCCAGAATTTTGACACCGACAACTAGTCTGAGATACATTATTTATCAGTAAAAGAAAGTTGTGATTGGAAACCAAACAGGAATTCATCTAGAATCTGATTTATGGAAAAATATGCTAACTTTAGTCCCACTGAGCTTCCTAGCACAGTAAGAGAAATTATCTGAATGTGTGTTGGTGAAAGAGTAATCCTTACAAATATATGGTGAAATCAGGCAGGAGAGGAGTCACTAAAGAAAAGAAGATCCTTCTTGGCTATAGAATTTTCTAAGTGTTTCTGAGCTTCTGTTTTATTTTGCTCACTAATAATTATGAAACTTAGCATTTCTTGCGCTACTGTGGGCTACATAGAAACAAAGCCTAACTTCAGATTGGGCTGTGACTCAGAATTAAATTGTGAAGGAACTAATTCAATGTTTACCAAATTTATTTTAATTGAAATTAAATGAAGTTTAATTCTACAATTAAATTCTAAAACTTCAGTTCTGAGTGATTTTTTTTTTTTTAATCTTTCTGTGCTTGCACATAACGTACTAGTTTTATATGCAAATTCTTTCCCATTGAAAACAAAATCAAAACAAAAACAAACAAAAAAATTGACCTTTACATCATGGGCACAAATTCAGATTTCACTAACATGGTGCCACCAAAAGAATTTGTATAAATTTCCCTCACTTTATTCTCTACTTACTAACAGACTACAGACAGCAAAGACATTTGCATTATTCTCCTCTGGCATTATGTAGCAGAACTTTCTTGGAAGTGCCACATTCTGCCATCCCAGATATAAGTTTCATGCCAGAACGTATAAACTATCAAAGAACCTAATTCTGATCAACAGGTAGGCACATTTATTTCATCTCATTAATAGATTAATAGATTAAACTGTTTTATTTTTAGAGAATGTTTTATATTGAATTTGAATCTTGACAGCATGAATGATGCTTAGGGAAGTAGTTGAAAACAGGTATTTCAAGGTGAACATTTCAGAGTGTGTCCTTGGACAATAGTATGCATGTGCTTTAATATTTATTCTTTCTATAAATACACAAAATATTCAGGCACAGTAAAGGATTATGGAAACTTCTGAAAACTTTTGTGAAGATGTTTTTCTCTTTTGTAAGGTGAATAAGATCAGTTGCATAGATAGCTTTTCACCTGTCTGCTGTTGAGAGAATGCAACCTTTCATTACTGTGCACCTCACACTGTCCATCCTAAAACACTCAATATTGCAACTCTAGGAGTCAGTATGACATGTTAAGCAGCTTGAAAAGGGCAAGCCTTTTCAAGTCTCAGAGGTTTAGCAAGTGAAGCATTGCTACTGTTGTCACTTCTGCTCAGAATAAACATTTAGACCTAATTCCTAAGAAGAAAATATTCCACAGTTTAGACTTTTCTGTGTTTTCTGTTGAAACTATGAGTCACTGTATTTTATTTACCTGCAAAGTGTGTTCAACACACACAAAAGTATATCAAGATTACTGCTTTTGTGTAAGAAGAAAGAATCCCACAGCATTTCTTTTTAATAACTGTTCAGCTACAAAATTTTATTGGTATCCTTCTATGTTCCCTCTAGAGGATGTAATGCACAAAAGCATTGCCACGGAACATATAAAATTACAAATGAAATTTATTGTAAAAAGTAGAATGTCTTCTAGACTGGTGTCAGTATTTATTTCATTCATAAACCAAAACTGCAGGTATAATATATTCATTGTCAGCAAGTTCATGTGTGTAAATTGCCATCCAACAGTATTGACTGATATAAGACAGATATTGAAAAGACAATTTAAATTTACTCTTCCAAACATAAACTGTTCCACAAAAGCACTGTAAAAACTCCTTCAAGGTTTTGTGTTGTGCTTCACATTTATGGTTAACTACACAATTTGGTTGTGTCATAATCCACTGTGTTTGGCAATTTGGCATTAAATGCCTGCAAAGCAGATTGAATTCTCACCACTTCACTGGTAGACAGTTTGAGTCTATGACGGAGCAAGCAAGAGAAGAGGTCTAGACGACGTTGACCAGGTGGAGAGAGTTTATTTACACGATCACGTATCTCTAACAGCTGCAAAAGTGCGGAGTCCTGTGATCCCTGAGTATAGGGGTAGTCCAGCTGCAAAATCAAGTCTCTAATTGCTTCTGGGTCAAAGTGCATGCTGTAGCCAAACACTTGGATGTTATTGATTTTCATGTAGCCCAGATTTCTTGAGGGATCAATAAATTCCAGGGGTTCATAGTAGATGCTTTCGTTGCCATTTGGACCATTTGACTTTATTCGACTCCTCAAATAGATGTGTACTGTTTCAAAAAATGTCTTCCACTTGTTGCCCAGAGTCAGTGTCCAATTATAACACTGAAGGGGTAAGTCCAACTTAGTCCGCTCCCAGTCTGGGAAATTATTTTCATTCACAGGCATAAACCAGCTCTCAGAGTGGCTGCCCCCAAAAGGGTTGACATAAACAGCAAGAACAGGCTCTAAAGTGCTGTTTTTAGTTAGGCAGATTTGAAGAGAGAGGCCTAGTATCATATGGACCAGGCTAGACTTGTACTTGTTACTCTTAAGAGTAAGGAGCATTCGCTTGCGCCAAGAAGGATCAAACCAGTTGTTGAGGCGCATGTCATTGCTGATGAAAATTGCATGCACCTCAATTCTCCGATCTGTCTTCTGCAGTAAATACTTCATTTCCAGGTCCTGAAGGTCAGTCTCAAACCCAATGTAGTGCTCTGTTGATTCTGCCACTTCAGGCTTGCAAATCCCCTGGCTTAGCATGTATCCAGCATTACAGCTTCCACAGCGGGTACGATTGTCAGGAGCGCAGCTCAGACAAGCAGAGCCATCTCCAACTGTGCAGGGAAGGAACCCATGGCAGGCAACCTGGTCATTAGGGCAGGTGCATGTGTGTGTCTCTTCAGAAAAGCTTCCCAGAAGGCCATTTTCATTGCAGTAGAGAAAGGATTGGATGCGGTTGAGCCAATAGTTGGAGGATCTGCAATTTTAAAATAATGTATTTTAGCACAAAGAGAGACCTGAAAACAATAAATACTACCTTGCAATGTTTTTACCAGAAAGAGAAAGATGAAAGTGTTTTTAGTAACAGATTAAGGCACTATGAACATAACTGAAGTCAAATGACAGCATCTGCTGTCAAGTAAATACACATATAAATTGCCTTTTAGCAATGCAAAACCACAGAAAAGAACTTTCCTTATAAACTTGCATTATAGGAACATTTGGATCACGTATTTTCTCTGCATCTCTGTCAAGAAAGTCTATCAGAGTCATTTTTTCTGTACCTGTCTTCAGATTAACATCGTGAAATGCTATATAGTTGAAATTTCTTTTCCTCTTACTATTTGCGCAGGGAGGTGCATGACTTTGTACCATCAAGCTGTTTTGTTATGAAGATTTTTGTAAGCCTGAAAGCCTTCTTGTTTCTAGTTGTAACTGCTTTGATTTACAGCTAGTGAGGATTGGAGTGACCAAAATACTTACCTGTAAGGGCAAGTAGGGCCTCACTAAAACAGATTCAGTCTTAATTCTTCAAATTAATTCCAATACAATAACATAATCATAGAATCACATAAAGGCTTGGGTTAGAAGGAACCTTGAAGATCACGTAGTTCCTACCACTGCCATGGGCATGGTTCCCATATCCCTATGGGAAGCTGGTGGTGACCATGCTGTGTTTACTTTTCATCTTCTGAGATGAAATCAAATGATTGTTTTAATGTTTTTCTTGTCAACTTATTTTAGTTTCACAAGAAACAACAGACACTGTGAGAACACACTGAAACCAGTAATTTAGTCTGATGAGGTACAATTGCTAGCAGAAAGGCATTGTAAGAAACACAGTTACGTGGACTTAGACAAGTGTTATCTCCTTTCTTGTCTGTACTTTTCATTCCTTTTTAGTAATTCTCGCAATGCAGAGCTTAAAGAACTTGTTTTTGCTGCTGCAGTCTGTTCTACCGTTGCCATGTGAAAAAAAAAAAACATAAAAATAAAAACCCATGCAATCATTTTAGACTCTGGTGAACTCAATTTTCTGGTTTTGGGCTTTGGGGGTACTTCTTTTTGGTTGGTTCTGTGCTATTCCCAGCCCCTTTCATTTTTCTTTTGTACATTTTGTCTATTCATACTTTTATGGAAGCATATACAATAAGATATATATATACAATAATACATGACTTAAATGCCTAAATAATTTGAGTCTCTGTGCTTAGCTGAAAGTTAAAATGAAGAAAAAATGCTTGGAAAGTTTACTACTTTCCTGAATAAAAATAGTGCATCCATTCCAAAGAAATGCAATGTCACAACATAAATGTTACTCCAAAACTAAGTAGAATTTAAAACGAATAGATTTCCAAGGTAGAATCAAAGTTCCCAGGTACTGTGTCTGGCTCATTTTGACAGTAATCTATGCCCACAGAGTTTGCTCTGGCAGCTCAAAGTGCATTTTGGGTATGTTATTACCTCAATTCCTCTTATGTGTTCAACATGGCAGCCAGCCTATGTCTCCCATGGTCTGTCATATTATTGTTAGGCCTATAGTGCATGACAGCAGTCAAAACAGAGAAGACTACTGTGTGAAAAAGTGAAAATAGCCTTCCAAAGGTTTCCTGTTGTAGCTTTGTCCTAACTCAGAATCACAGAATGGCAGAGGTTAGAAGGGAACTCTGGAGGACATCTGATCAAACACTCCTGCTCAAATATGGACACTCAACACCTTATAGGTTCAAGTACCTATGTAATAACTGATACTTACTCAGATTCCAAAAGACGTTAGATGAATATAGAAAAATGCTTTTTTGAAGAAAACAAAAGCCAAAAAAATAAAACCTTTCCTTTAGATCTTTGTGTTATGCCATTTACTTCAGAGTACACTTCTTTAAGATCTTACCTTATTTTTATTTGTTATCTTGGACAGATAACTGGACGGATTTCAAGGATGTGTCTCTTTCATCTCCAGGTTTTCAGTTTGCTAACTGGATGTTAACATTGTTCATGGTTTAAGACTAGTTCATACCCCATGACTACTGTATCAAGGCAGTGTGCTCATTCGTCTAACAGCTCATGTTGCTCAGATTTGTAAGAGTGAATTTGAGCATCCTCTCCCACTTCTCTTGAAAGCAAAAGTGCTATGTCTTTGAAAAGTTATGTTATATATCAGTAGTACATTTCCAGAAATATATTTTAAAAATACTTAACAAAGACCAGCTCTGAGTGTGCAGTTATAAATTTGAATTCAGACCAGTAGAGGATAAACATGAGAAGACAATCTAAAGATTTTTTGTTTTTGACAAAGCACTGACCAAAGAGACTAAATCTGTTTGTATCACTCACAAAAAAACATCAGCCATGCTATGTAGTTTGTAGAACCTAAGGATACTCCCGCATTCTGCATTACATTTGCATTCTAGTCAGATAAATGCTCACTGTGCCTGAGATGCAAAGCTGAACAAAGTCATGCAATTGAATCAGTTTCTCAGCAGAGAAACTCGGATTTTGCATTGTGTTAGTATGGACAAGAAATTTCTGCATTCCTGCTGGCTTGGAGCCCAGGCAGAGATATTTTTCACCTACACAGTAGCTATGATTTTTGGAGTCTGATTTTAGATACTCTCTGATAGATTTGTGGGTAGTACTTTGTGGAGGTATATACTTGTCACTGGATAGGTTCTAGCAGTGGAAAATGGTCCTTGGTGATCAGAGGCTGCTCTGTGTGAGGAGAGTGGCACAGAGGGAAGGACAGATTGCAGCCACCTGCTCCCCATCCTTCTGTGCTGCCTGGGGCAGGAGGAAGTAGATAGGTTGGGAGAGAAGGAGTGAAGTTGCGTCAGGAAAGATATGTGTGTGAGAAGGTATCCAGCTTATCCTGGCTGTTAAGCTCCCATTTTGGACAGAATAAAGGAGGATGACTCCTTCTGTGGACATGCCTCAGAATGAATAGATTGGACAAGTGTACCGTGAACACACAGAGTGAGCTAGACAGAAAGAGAACAGAGTTCGCAGAATGATTGCAGACTGACGAAGAGAGGGACTGATGAAGAGCTGGGAGAGCAGGAAATAAATTGTCTTGGTCCACAGAGGAGAGGGAAGGAGGGAAACCTAGTGAGGAAGATTATATTGTAGGAAGAGGAGGATTTTAAGTTGCTGGAATAAGTTTTTTGAAATCAACAAAATTAACGTACAGGTAAATGTCGATTGGACTTTAATAAATCCTATCTCTAGGCACACAGTTTTTAGAACTTTTTTCCTTATTAAAGATCTAGTCTACTGCTTCTGTTATCATGACCAGCAAAATGTTATAATGTTATTATTATGTTCTGTTATTATGACCAAAAAAAAAAAGACACTTTTGTTCTTTTAATACTTAATGAGTCTATCCCCCTTTTTCTACTGAGGGATAGAATGAGCAGTCTAAAAATCTTCATAAAGTTACACAGCTGAATGAAACTTTAGCCTCAAATTTATAACTTGAAATGTAGTTTTTAAAACAACTATATATTTGCTCAAGAGAAACAAGAATTTTAAGAGGGAGATACCTTTTTTTCCTAACTAAAATTCAAAACAACAACCTTCTAATACGTTTACTTTATTTTGATTTTGTTTACCTTGTTTTAACAGGCAAAATTTCAAGAAGTTCTAGTTGCATTTTGCTCTGATCAGTTTACAAGCGGAAATTCTTTTTTTAAAAAAAAATTGAAATTGAAATTTAGTTGATCATTTTTTGGTTTGTATTGTTTTGTTTTTAATTTGTAATTAAGAAATACTACTGCTCTTTCTAAAGGTATTGCTTTTTCTCAAGTAAATTAAGAAAATCAAGTGAAAACAAAATGTCAGGAATACCTACTTTATGTGAGCCACTCACCCTTAATTAGAAGAATATTAAGAAGAAAACAGAAAACAATTTTAAACTGAAAGAGGGTAGATTTTTATTAGATATAAGGAAGCAAGTATCTCCTAAAAAGTTGTCGAGGCACTGCAACACGTTGCCCAGACAAGTTGTAGATGTTCCATCTCTGGAAATATTCAAGGCCTTTGAGCAATCTGAGGTGCCTCTGCCCATGGTACGTGGTTGGACTAGATGAAGTTGAAAAATCCTTTACAACCTAAATCATTCTATGACTTTTAAGTATCATGCCTTTTACAGCTTTATGATTTACAGTTCTGCCCTTCCTTAATGCCTATAGCCAATAGAAGCAAATTGAGTCTCTAGTGCCTAAAAAAAAGACAAACTTCCTGAGTGATGTATAAGCCATTGACTCTTCCTGTCCCACTAGAAGATCTGGCTACTTTTTCTAATCCAATTTATGGTAACACCAGAATTTGAGGTATGCTGAGGTGTTTAATATCCTCCACAAGTTTGTCTGAAAACTTCCAACAGACAATTGACTACAGGTCAATAATTATGTCTATACTACACCACATAGTTAAAATAAGAAAATCCTCAAAGAACATATATAAAAACACACCAGATGTCTTTTTGGAATTTAATGGAATTCTATTGTTTTTTTTCTCTTCAAACTTACCATGGCCTCCAGACATCAATAACATGTGGGAATAGTTTTTGAATCTTGGTGCACCTAGCATTAGACAAACAAAATCTCACTATCTTCTACATCATTATTTCATGAGACTTCCCTTTTCTACTACATCAGGTCTAATTATTCTTTAATTTTCTATATTAGATGACTCAAATAGTGCTTGATTGTTTAGCTACTCTATGCAAATTTGTTGCTCCTAGTTCATGTCTTTCATTTTTTGCCATATTCAAAATCCGCTGCTTAGTCTGTCACTGGAAAGTAAGAAATATGAAAATTGAATCTGTCATAACTCTTCAATGCACCTTACCACTCTTCCATTTTTTGAAAGTTGGATTGATATCTATGGTCTACAGTAGTCACTAGGAAAAGGTCCTCTTCAGTTTCATAAGATAGGATCTGAGTCTCTGACTTTAACCTCCTCAGATCTGTACCAATGACA